ATATATATATATATATATATATATATATATATATATATATTATTATTNTATATATATATATATATATATATATATATATATATATATATATAGTGTGTGTGTGTGTGTATGTATATATATATATATATATATATATATATATGCTATATTCTCAGCAATCTTGCATGCCACTGTAGTGGCACAATTATCCATTCTGACTGTCACATTGTGCGTTATGTTTCATTATTGGTGTGTAGCAATTCTACAAAGCCCTGTCCAAAATCACCAATCAAGGAGCGAAGAAGAGCAAGGCAATTGCTAGCTTCCCCGACATGACCTGCAAAACCCCCAGGTATCGTTTCGTTGAAGATCTTATATGTTTGAACATTAGCTTATATGTACTTAGGCATATACCTCGTTGAACACGTGTGCGTGTCTGTATAAACAGTCCTGTGCAGTTGAGACATGCTCTCCGGCGATCATCTGGAACATAAAGAGTGTTTACAGCGTGGTGTACGACTGTCCATGAACCAAGTTCAGACATAACTTTCCATGAACCAAGTTCAGTATGGCTTTCCATGAACCAAGTTCAGTATGGCTTTCGTTATGTAGGTATCTATCTTTCAATACTACAATCATAATGTATCGAGTTCTGAGCATTCTGTACCGAGAGCCTGTGTACAACCACGAACACACTTGTTGACTGACGGGCGTATCTTGTACACACTAACACACACATACATTCACCGCCGCATGCACATCTACCCCATCAGAGGCCGATACGAAATGGAGCTGTACACGGATCACGTACATCTGCACGGTGCGAAGTACTCGTACAAGCTGCACCACAAGGCCATCCAACGCATCTTCTTGCTGCCCAAACCCGATCTTTTCTCGGTGTACTTAGCGGTGAGTGTGCCCGTTGCTGCGCATGATAGGGTTTATTTTGTTTTAGTCTAGTATAAGATGCAACAGGTGGAGTGGTGGGTATAGTATGTGCCAATCTAATGCTTATCATTGTGAATGCTATGGTTGCTATTGCATATACGCGCTGGGTCATAGTGCTCCTCCCACGCCCCTTATCTTTGTACCTCTGCGTATATATATATATATATGTGTGTGTGTGTGTGTCGACTGGCCGCTGGTTAGCTCGATAGCTACCAGGCTTAATATAATACTTCTGCCCTGAATCATTAGCACTCATGTCCTACTACTCTTCCGTTACACTCCGTTCAGATATACGTATCACCCGCCATCCGCCAAGGGCAGACCTCATATCCATTTTTTATAATGGAATTGCCCAGACCGCGCGACGGCTTGGAAGACGACGACAAAATTGATGTGGAAATGAACATGGACGAGTAAGTGTTTGGATTTACCGTTCTACGCTTTAGCGCATTAACGCTTTTACGGGTTTCCGGTTTGTCTGGATATATATATATATAGATCAGGTCTATTTAACAGACCGGCACATAGTGAACGTTGCGCAGCTAGTTGCAAACACATGAAAAAAATTCCACCACCAGGCGTGTATTGGGGTCTGCTTGTCTGTTGGCACACGCTACACCATCCGTTTGAGGGAGTCTTTTTTATATTGGATGGTGTAGTTATTTTGAGTTGTTCAGAGCGTTTGGGCTCCCGTGTCAATTCTATTATCAGGACAAAGAGTATCGGATCAAGTGCAGTATCTAGGATGCAGTGATTGTAAATAGACCATCGTGCTAATACAAGAGTGCATACGTATGAGGTGAGCGCTCGGCGCGAGTCGTTGTTGCTGTGTGGATAGTGCTCCAGCAGACGTGTTAACGAGCGTTCGCACGGGATGCGTTTGTTTGTTGCATTATCAGCGTACACCTCCACTCACTCACTCACTCACTGTGTAAGTTCGGTACTACCTGCGTCACAGATTACTTATATTGTGTTGTGTAGTTCGTGTATGCCTATCAACGACTACGAACTGACATAGGTAGCGCCCTAGCAGTCCTGTCTTTGCTTTTGCCCTAAAATACTCTCACCCCACATCGTACCGTTTTCTGTCCCGTTTTTCTCACCCCACATCGTACCGTATTCTGTCCCGTTTTCCGCCAAATAGGACCGAGCTCGCCAAATACGATGGCCTGAACAAGATCATGTCTGGCCCACTCTTTGAAGTGTTGAGTCGGGTGCTCAAGATTCTGTCCGGCAAGAAGATCACCGTGCCGTCCACTAACTTCCAGAGGTGTGTGTGTTGTGTGTGTGTGTGTGTGTGTGTTGGTTGTCTAGTCTCTGCTGTAGCTGACGTCCAAGCATGTATTTGCCTTTGTTCAACCACGTACTAAACATAATATAGGTGCAAATATGTGTTCCTTCTTGCACCCCGTTTGTGTGTTCACGGCTATACTTTTAACAAACTAGAATGAGACCTGAACTGCATGCTCGTCAACAAGCTGCCCAGCGATTTTAACCAGTTGTCGGCTCTTTCACTCCATATGCCTCCTATGTTCCCGTGTGTGTCATCGACCTGACGCTCACAAGCCTAGAAACCCCGTGCCACATCCTAGCACATCACGTGCGCACACTCTCACCTGCCTGATATGGTATCATTCTCACCTGCCTGTTATGGTATCATTCTCACCTGCCTGTTATGGTATCATTCTCACTTGCCTGATATGGTATCATTCTCACCTGCCATATCCGTGTAGTAAAATCAACCACATTCTCACCTGCCTGTTATGGTATAATTCTCACCTGCCTGTTATGGTATAATTCTCACCTGCCTGTTATGGTATAATTCTCACCTGGCTGTTTTGGTATCATTCTCACCTACCATATCCGTGTAGTTAAATCAACCACATTCTCACCTGCCTGTTATGGTATCATCCTCACCTGCCTGTTATGGTATCATTCTCACCTGCCTGTTTAGGTATCATTCTCACCTGCCTGTTATGGTATCATTCTCACCTGCCTGATATGGTATCATTCTCACCTACCTGTTATGGTATCATTCTCACCTGCCTGTTTAGGTATCATTCTCACCTGCCTGTTATGGTATCATTCTCACCTGCCTGTTATGGTATCATTCTCACCTGCCATACACGTGTAGTAAAATCAATCTGGGCTCGCCGTGCATGTCCTGTTCGCTGAAGAATGAAACGGGGCTGCTGTACATACTCGAGAGTGCGCTGATGTTTGTGCTTAAGGTGAGGCGCCGGTCTACTACTCTGTGCAGGATACCATGCCTGTCCCGGTCTATCGCGTTGAAACTCGCTCTTGTGTATTGTTATGTGATACCTTGTCTGCGTAACGCGATGGTGTGGACTATACAGTCCATTGGTGTAGTATCTCCAGCGGCGAGTCTCTAGTCCCAGCTGTCGTGCGAGTGGCGTTTATGCACACGCCGTAACTAACCAATTGCGCATCTCTGCAGCCGCCGACCTATGTGCATTTTAAGGAGATCTTGATGGCTGAGTTCGACCGTCAGGGTGGTACAACCTCACGCACTTTCCGACTAAACATTGAGACGAAAACAATGGGCACCCACACATTCTCCAATATTACAGCGGAAGAATACAACAACGTATGTACCACTGCCGGGCGGTTCCTGTGGGAATAGACGTTAAACCTCTCTCTGCCCTGTTTGATCCGTGGGCTTGTGTCTGTTGCTGTAGTGTGTGTGTGCGTTTGTATACTGCAGCGAAAGAATACAACAACGTATGTACCACTGCCGGGCGGTTGCTGTGGGAATAGACGTTAAACCTTTCTCTGCCTCGTTTGATCCGTGGGCTTGTGTCTGTTGCTGTATTGTGTGTGTGTGTTTGTATACTCTGCCCCGTTTGATCCGTGGGCTTGTGTCTGTTGCTGTAGTGTGTGTGTGTGATAGTATATTGCAGCGGAAGAATACAACAATATAAATACCACTGCCGGGCGGTTGCTGTGGGAATAGACGTTAAACCTCTCTCTGCCTCGTTTGATCCGAGGGCTTGTGTCTGTGTGCGTTTTATGCGCATAATTTGTACTACTGGATCCTTTGCTGTTTAGGGTTGTGTTAAATTATTATGTAGTTCATAGTGTGATGGGGAAAGATAGTCTCACTTTCTTGCGTTGCTTATTTGGTCTTCCAGTTAAAAACGTTCCTGGTCGAGAAAAAGGTCAATGTGGATGAATTGGCACAAGCGGACTACAACTACGCTGCTCTGGGCAACCAACAAGTGGGAACCGACCACTACGCCGAGAGAATGAAGCAGGATGTAAGTCTACATATATGTATGTATGTATGTATATATATGTATATATATATATATATATATATATGTATAATATATATATATATATATATATATATACATAAAACATTTATATATATATATATATATATATGTATATATATTTATATTGATATATATATATATATATATATATTGTGTATCTGTGTATCTATGTAGGTAGGTAGATAGGTATATATATATATACACATATATATATATATATATATGTGTGTGTGTAGGTATGTAGGTATGTATGCATATACATATACATATATATATATATATATATATATATATATATAAGTATGTGTTTGTTTGTGTATGTTTGTTTAAGTTTGTATATACATATATATATGTATGAATGTACGTTATGCCTATTACAATCGAATATTTTTCGTCGTCCTGTGAAACAGATAGATATGCTCAATCTAACATTCACGTCATAGCAATCCACTGAAATGATTCGACACGTCGTTGTCTTAACTCGCTGATACCGGTATTCCATACCACACCCACTCATTGTATTTACCAAACCCCCACAACAACGCACATGTCCCTGCCTCATATCCAGCATCCACACATCGGTGCTACGCCTGACATTGAACAGGGACATACACCTATCATGCATTCCAACAACAAAACTACCTATGATATCTATTCTCTCACAGCTGCCCACTCCACTTATACTTATCATCCAACAAAGACTCACCTGTAGTCTAACCTCTCGCAACGACGCACGCGTATGGCGCACACAGGGTGATGAGGGTTCTTCAGGATCATCAGAAGACGAAGACTTCGCGCCAGGCCAGGAATCCGATGTGGAAGAAGAATACGATAGTGAAGCAGGTTGGTCTTATACGCATGTTTATGTACTGTAAAACAGCCTTTGAGATGGAGTATAGGGAGGTATTTATGTTTTGTGCGTTGAAATTGGACGTTTGTGTATGATGCAGACCCAAGTCAATAGTCCTGCCAATATACTACATAGCGAACTAGATAGCAATGATAGTACTAGCAAGTGTATCGAATCCTGGACCATATTTTTATGTATGTCAGTGCAAAATCACGTCAAGTTCACTATACTATAATACAATGTGCGGGTGAGTCGCCACGCACACTACACATACAACTAACTTCATTGCCACATACACTCAAGCAATTTTATCCTACTTGGATATCTTAACATGGGTTAAAGCTAGCTCATGTATGTCCAATGTACGAACTAAGGAGTGCCTCCATCTCGACCATGGTGGTTATCTGCATTAAACAGATACACTTCTTCTGTTCTGTATATCTTGAACGTCTTTGTGATCCTGATTTATCTGTACTCTGACTTATTTATACCGTCTCAATCCGTTTGCCACTCTGATCGCCTGTCTGTGTTCCTTTGCATCCCATACCATCACACAGGTCAAGGAAGCAGCGGAGGTGATAGCGATGCGAGCAGTGATGGGGGCGAGAGCGATGACAGTACTAACAAGAAACCGAAGAAATCAAAGGCCACTGCGAAGAAGGAGGTATGCAGGCAGGCTGTGGGTTGTATAGCGTTCAAGTGTTTACTTTAGCGTCGAGAGAGAAGGGTTTATCGTCCGCTTGAGCCACCTAGGAGGCTTTCTGCGTATACGACACCTGCCGAGGAGTGTCATTGCCCTGACTCGTGGGTTTGAGTGAGACCCACAATAGCATTGGATCGATGTTGTGCCGTGTGTGATGGATAGTCCACTTTAACCTCGACCTGGAAAGAAATCGAGTAGGGTCCTGTGGTACACGCCTGTGATACACGTGTTCGTATGAGCTGAGTTTGATTGAATCCAGCATGTCGCACCGTTCGCTCTGTTTAAACCTATCGGAGGCCATTCATGTGCTTATCCGTAATTTTCGCCAGTGAGCCATTCCACTCTTCATTCGGTTGTGACGGGTGTCTGTAATTGTTTGGTCTGTATCGTTATTCGGTATGTATATACAACGCCATAGCATGCTATAGTCGATATGAGTGTCTACTTGCATGTATGTATGTATGTATGTATGTATGTATGTACGTGTGTACGTGTGTACGTGTGTATGTATGTATGTGTGTATGTATGTGTGTATGTGGGTATGTAGGTATGTTATGTATGTATGTATGTATGTATGTATGTCGATATGTATGTATGTATGCATGTGTGTATGTATGTATCTATGTATGATGTACGTATGTATGTATGTATGTATGTATGTATGTATGTATGTATGCATGTACGTATGTATGAAAGCAAGTAGAATACATCGACGTGTATTTACATCAGTAGGGCAAAGGCGTGTGCGCTTAGCACAACTCACAAATCCCCCTTCGGTCTAAAGCATCAGGCTGTGTATATGCTAGTTGGTCATAGTTGCAAATGCTTCGATAGCCGCATGATTGTTCTGTTCGCCTGTTTTGACCTGATCCTCTCCCGCGGTCTGGAGTGTATTCTGCGTAACACCCCGTTTGAGCTCACGCCATAGTAACATGTCCCATACCATTCCTGGCTCGCCCAGCCTAGTGACTATGTTCGTATCCTGCATATCCAGGTATCGCACACAATTGGTGCAACTTATTGGTGTGTGAGAGCGTGTAGCGGCCTACTATTGATCACATGTATGTTTGTCTCAGCTACTCATTCCAAGAGTTTCCTTATTTCCGTAGAAGTCGCCCTCGGCGGCAAAAAAGAGAAAGTCCAAAGGGAAAGTGGACCCAAACAAACCCAAAAGGCCCGCTACAGCGTACATCATATTCTCGGCCGATAAGAGACCAGAGATGCTGAAGGAGTATCCGGGGCTTTCCTTAGGCGTATGTACGGATTGTGCTTTGGTGATGTATATGTACATGTTGCGTGTAGATACGTAGCATCAGTTTGTGTGACCAGAATGCACTGGTTGAGATATTAGAGCTGGCAGTCATTGCCAACTATGCTCAAGTCTTGATTCGTGTGGATCAATCAGTGTGTGCTGCTAAGCATTGCGGATAGCACGTGTTTGTTTTTGTGTACATGAGCCAATAACGTATGTACTCGCCCTATTTGGAGCTTCGAGATACATGATACCGTCGTATCGTGGTGAGTTTTTGGTATAATACCTGATCACTCGTCGATAGGGGCTACAATAGCGAATGTCCACACTTGCGATGTCAGGTAAAAATTTAATTGTCGTTCACTATTAGAAGTTCTAATCACCCGGGCGGTCACACTCGGGGCGTGGTTCATTGGTCATAGTTACAACCACCCTGGCCAGGTGCAGCTGAATACGTATCCCGACTTCATCTTGACTGATATGTCGCCCATGTCTAATATGTCTCCATGTACCTTCGCTCCAGGATTTCTCGAAGAAACTTGGTGATCTCTGGAAAGAAACAAGTGAAGAGGACAGGAAGGTAACGATTCACAATGCAAAAGCCACTCTTTGTGCGTCCTTTTATGTCAAGACTTGAGTGCATTGTTCCAATTGGTTTGAAATGTTGTCTGAGGACCATGATTTTTTCTTTTCTTTTGCAAAATTCAGCGAACATCTGGAATAATGGTTGGAGTATCATATGAGCGATCTATTCATGCTTAAATACACGAGGCTGTTTGCTGATCACATCATGCGAATCTAGTGGGAAGCGCCCGTTCTCACTCGCACGATACATATACGAAACTAGAGCGTGTGTCTGTATCCCTACACAGCCCTACGTCAAGCAAGCCGCAGAAAAGAAGAAAGAATACGAAATAGCAATGGCCAAATACAAAATCGATCATCCGGAAAGCGACAATGAATCAGGTCCTAAAGCCAAGAAATCAAAGGCCTCCAGCACGCCATCAAAGCTGAAACAAACAAAACTCACATCATCGAAGCCCGCAAGGAATTCAAGCACGCCGAATGTATGTAACAAAAGAGACCGTCGGGGTATTCACGACATGCACGACACGCGTGCCACCCTTCTATTCAAGTCGAAATCGGGCTGGCACACAACTATAAGTCCATATTGACGATTGTGTATGCAGATGTTAACTGCGGAAAGCTTGTAGAAAGTCCGAAGCTTCACTCAATATGTGGATGTTAAAAATCATGGGTGTTCAATCTGTTTCAAATAATATTAATGTCTGATGAACCTTCATGGCTATCTGTTGTGCTAAGTCCTCTACCCTGTCACTGGTTTGAATTGCAACATTAAACAACTCTCTATTTCACAATACAGGATAAGAAGGTGTATTCAGCGGAATTCATCGAAGATTCAGACGATATGCTTAGCAACTAGGTACGTTAGTATACATCATCGACGAGAAATAAACTGCTCTAATGTTGACGTACCTATGCCTAACTATTAAAGGAAATAACAAAAACATATGACAAATCGATTGCGTTACACATTGTTGAAAGTTTTCTTAAAGTGATTTGATTATTGATCCCGTACCACGAATCATGATCTGATATCATGCTATCAGGCGTAGTGAACGCTCTATTAGAGACCTATCGCAGTGTGAACAAGAAACCTGCCATTATAGTACGCGTGCATTTTGCCATATCAGTATGTTAATTTGGCTCTCCGCCCACCTTTCAACCTACATACGAGCGAGACTCAAGGAGACTTCGAGAACAGACAAATTATCAAAATAAATATCTCGAGATGTGGTATTTATGTATATTAATTATTATTTTTGCGATGCTCGCCAATACCGCACTGGCATGACGTATTTCCCTGGGCTTATCGGATCTGAATGTCACGCCACACGAGCTGAATATATTCTTAGAACAGTGTGAGATTTCCTCGATTACAAACCGGCCGTGAGTTTGAAGTTCTTAAACTGCAGCGATTGATCAGTTTTAGGTGCATAACTCGATCCCGATCCTCCGTAAAACACGCTGTAAAACATGCCTAAGTGTGTCACCGAATCAGTGCTTCGCAGCACAATAGTTTCTGACATCACCAGATTACCATTCACCCACAGTTTGATTTGACCATCATTTGACCCCACAGTATTCAGACGAACTGTCTGCTTGACATGCGACCAACTTCCTCTTTGAAAGCTCCAACTTCCACGATTTAATGAGCAAGTCGCTTCAGAGGTAGAGCAAGAACTCATGTTATCGCATCTTTTGCAGAAAGCTTCAGACTGCAGAGACATAGGTGCGTACAAATAGACCTCGCCCGCGCCATTCTCCCTCCACATAAGCCTGGTTGACCAGCAGTTTGTTCCAGTACTCTTGGTGCCTCCCGAACATTGCATTTTTCCGGACGATGCTCCACCATGCAATCCGGGTAGTTTACCCCCTTTGACCCACTCAAAATCTGAAGGGAAGAAGACGCTGTATTCTAAAGTGGCCTCATCAAGACCCGCATAGTCTTCAAACTGCAGCGTATTAAATTGGCCACCACTGTGCTGGTTTGTGCCATGGGCACCGGCTTTCATCTTTATTTCCATCACTTTTGTTGACGAGGAAGAGGGGTCGGCGATAATGAAAGCATCGTTTTGTCGGTCTGCTGTACAGTCGCTTCCTTTCCGCTGCATACCATAGCAACCCATGAAGGGAGCCTTGAAATCCTCATATACATCTAAAGCATCATCTACATTGTATGAGTTAAAATTTGACACCGACAATGCAGTAGCAGACCTCCTCATTGGAGCAGCAAGTACAGCAGAACTCGCTACGATGACAATTGCGCATATACACTTCCTAAACATGTTGGTGTTGTTATTTGCAAGATAATAGTTGTTGTGATTTTTGAAGTCTAGTAGCTGTGCAACTATATATTTATACTTACGCTGTTTTCAACAAAAAGGGCTGTCAGTAAATACCGGGATGCTCTAAACTGTTATTGTATATCTGTTTCTTTCTTACATCGAGAATTCGAGATCGCCAGAGCATATATGGCGGGCAACATCCTGGGTGGGGCGGAAATGCCGATGACAATTTTATTTTTTTAAATAATAAATCAAAATAAGAAATAAACGTGTTATCTCTCCCCAGTCGGCAGACTCCACTCTGCAAAACGAACCTGCGGGGCTGCGTCTCTGCGATGTGCTACACAACTCATGAATCCACCGGTTGAATGCCTGAATGGCTTTCTCTAAATTCTGTTTAAATTTTTCTACTGTATTGGTGCGTCTATTTATAAATGGCGAGCATAAAGGCTATAGCAGTACAAACTCTACTAATCACAACGGCGTCAGCCGTCCACTCAGCCACGCTGCCTCTGATACACTGTGCTTTGACTCCTGAGTACTGAGCTTGATAAGTCCAAACTCCTAAGACCTGATGAGTACACTACGGAGCACCAGACTGATTGATCCAACTTTTTTAAAACCTTTTTATCAAATCACCCAGATGACACTGTGACAGTCCCAGACTCTCAACCTCAGGTCCAAGACTCCCAGACTCCCAGTCTGGCGGCTGGCCCGGACTCTCGGACCGACCCAGCACTGCAGTAGCCGCCACGGGCGGGCGCCACGGGCCAGGGGCCAGGATCCAGAGACCAGGACCAGGGGGTAGGCTCTCTACCTAAGCTCAATAAGTTATAGGGGTACGGAATATAAGTTCCAACTTTAATGTTAACTTTTTGATTTTTAAAAGTTATCTTTTATTTAGGACAAATCAACTACAAAGGTATTTTGGAAACTGCACTCAATAAGCTGTCCGATCGTGGAAAATTTTAGGCCACGAAAATGTTAGTAGGCAATCAAAAGAGATTGAGCGTTTCAGTTGCGACGACTGTCACCTGAGTGACCTGAAAAATGCACCTATCACATATGGAAGTGTACTATCGAGATATAAAAGTTACAACTTCAATGTTTATTCGAGGCATAATAAAAGTTTCAACTTTTAACGCATTGAGCTTAGCTCTCTACTCTCTAGTAGAGACTCCATCGTCATGTCAATTGTGTGAGATTATCAGTATGAGTGACCATGACTACCATCAAAAAGCCATATTTTTTTTTACAAAAGCAAGTTGAGCACAATGATTGTTTTATAAAATAAGCATACATACTATGAACTCTGACGTCTAGAGTTCTGAACTAATGCCCGACGGGCGCGGGACGCCCGAATTCCGAGCGGCCGTGCCAGAGAGTGCGCCTTTTCGGTAAGAAAAATAGCAAAACTGCTCTATTATAAAACAAATCGAAAAAAGAATTTGTCTCTATGCTTTCTCGAATTCACTCTTCTGTTCAATCTCTTGTTGAGCATATTTTGTTTTTTACACCAGCATGCGGGCTTGCGGCGGTTGGCCCCTGCTCCTTTTAAAAAAAGGTAAAAGCAAATTTTAAAAGTACTATGTATGGAAGAATTGTAATAAAATATGTAACATTATTCAAGCATTGTATAGTTACATTTTGTTTGCTCTAATAGCTCTATTCTCTAAACTTAAAAAAAGGCTCAGCTTCTAACAGACTACATACTCCGATCCCAGCATGAGTCAGAAACTCCATTGCTCCATCGCTTTAAATGGATGCAGTAGGTACTTTAGGCCTACTCTTTAGACTTAGAGAGAGTGCCAGACTGCCAGTGGGTTTACTCAGTACTCACTACTGCCCTACTCTGATGAGTGGAGTGTAGACTGTACTTGTAGTCTACTGTAGAGTGTAGACTGTAGAGTGTAGATTGTAGTGTAGAGCACTCTAGCTCTACTAGTGAGTGTAGACCGTAGAGGCGTAGACTGTAGAGTGTAGACTCTGGTCTGTAGAGTGTAGACTGTAGAGTGTAAATAGACTGTTAGACTGTAGAGTGTGGAGTGATAGATTGTAGACTGTAGACTGGTTACTCTTAAGGCTAAATAACACAAGCGATTCTTGAGAGAGTCTGAAATTCTGAATTCTGAAATTCAATAATATTTACATTTCTGTCTGAATTGAAATTAAACCCCAGCATCAAGAGTAAAGTCAGCTCGCGTGGTAAACGATAACAGTTTTTTTTAAATAACAACAGTATCGCATTGTGTATAGATGAAAAATAAACCAATATTTATCATTCTTTCTCAACAGGGGTTGTGTCGTTTACTAGTAGAGAGAGAGTAGTCGAGAGAAAGCGTATTGGCAAATCAAGCAGGATATAATATATCTACACTTTTTTTTAGGCTTTCTATACTATTATTTTTTAAAAACATAATAAAAGTATCAGAATAAAAACGCGGAAAAGCTATTGTAGTCATAGACGCACAGAAACTATTAGCAGTAAACAAATTGACATGTGATAATAATACTATATTTGAAACAATAAACATAAACTGATAATTGTCGATATTCATCATTTGTATTTCAGTCGTGTTTTCAGGTTTGCTATATTTTTGTTTTTTTTATAAATAAAAGGTTTACCTACAGTCTCATTTGTATTATATTATTTTTAAAAAGAGGACAAAAGTTAAATTTTTCAGAAACGGAATGTACCAATGTGGGTTCACTTTCACACTACTGTATGTATTGACTATTTATAATTATTTGTTGGGATTTTTAAAATAAAAACAACAAATATGCAAAACAAAATATATATATATATATAATTTAAAAATATTTACAGCTTTTCATTGCAGGCTTGCGCACGGCCACTCGGCCCCAGTGACCCAGTCGGCCGCACACTCTCTCTTAGGCTAAGAGACTGGAAGTCTTCTTTTTTTTAAATCAGTCTTTTCTCTCTCACTTTTCAGACTTCACGTCCCTTTTTTATTATATTTTTCAAAATCTGCACGACTGCCTTCTACTATGATAAATACATAGTCTGGCCGCTGGAGTCTGGACTCTGGACACTGGTCTCTGTGATGTGATGAGAGTGTGTGACTGACTAATTGTGTGTCATCAGCTGAGAGCAGTCAATACTCTTTTTTGTTTTAGAAATATATAAAAAATGACTAAGAACGACTGCAGGTCACCCTGACACCCAGTCCCACAGAAACCCAGGGCCAGTGGTCCCAGTCCCCCTGCTGGATATTCGCAGCTTTCAGCCTGGGCTCTGGCACTTATCGATTTTCGAATATTTAGTCATCTCTTCAATATTTTTTTAACAAAATTTGAAATTTGAAAACACTCAACGTGCTGTCGGCCTGTCGTCTATTCGACTCTTCAAGGATCGACTGCAATCTACATTCTACATACGATCATCGGTATTTCGCCAGAGTGTTTTAAGAGTTGACAATCACTCTATCAGTGAACCAAATACCAAAACACTATAGTGCTTTTTTTTTAAAGGTATATAATCTTTATTGTTTTCAGAGGGGGTTTTGCTTTTAGTTTTTAGCAAATAGGCTACGGGCCGCAGACCTCATTTAAAAGTTAGTACATAGATCTAAACGTTGAATGATTTACGCATACGCAACGCATAGGGGTGACTATTCCGACCTCAAATTATTTTACATATAAGACCCAGATAGTGCACCTAACATGTCATTTCTGGCCACAAAGCTTGCGTTCAACCAATCAAACGCGACTGAAAACTGATGACCGTTTTTGTTTTTAGGCCGCTCACCACGACGGTTTGTGACACTTTGTGTACTACTAGAACTGGTCTGTCTGTTAGTATACACTGTATGTCTTTACATCGTACTGAAAACTGAATAAATACACACTTCTTGCGACGCATATAGGCATAGAGGCTTAGGCATACTAGCGTGTTTATACAAGATATACTTGTTATGGAAAGTGTACTTGTTAGCAATCGGTTGCAGGTAAATATACAATTATATACACAGTAACACAACAGTAACACAGTAAACACACAACTTCACACAAACGACCCCATAGTCATACTATTAAAGCAAAAAAGAATGACCCAAGCATTGCCCATAAGAGGTCTGGCGGGCCTTTCTATCCGTAACCGACAGGAAAATGAGGGCGGGGCGGCGGGGCCGTGGCCCGCGGGCCCGGTCGTGGCAGTTAAATACTATGACCCAGAAATAATCCCTCATATGTATGTTGGGACTGTGTAACGTATCAAAATTTTTAACGTTTTACGCTTACGGAATGTTTTAAAACGTTGCAACGTATAGTGGTACGAGGTCTGGCTACGGGGTCATGGACTCATGAAGGCATAAATACACTGCCAGGTGCGACGACAGGGTATCCTAATTTAGGATTCTACTTTCAGGAGTCAGAATTCAGAAGTCAAAACTCTCGGGATTCATGAAGACATATTGCGAATAGGACTGGTGTAACGTCAGACAATCAATGCTGTGGAACACTCCGGTTTTTTTTCTTTTTGTTTTTTCTTAAATAAAACTACAAAGTTTTAATATGGACTAAAATTTTTTTAGGTCGAATTAAGAGTCTAGACTTTAGACTCCTAAACCAAATACATACCGTAAAACCATATTCTCCCTCCTCTATTCTACAGTCTACACTACAGTCTACAGTCTACAGTCTACAGTCTACAGTCTACACAGGTCTACACTCTATATTCCAGGCCTGGGTAGTGGGTACTCATAAATATGGATGCCCTCTCACATATTTCATATTATGTACCAGATGGCAGATGCGCCGTATTAAATACATATTTACGTTTTAACGTGCTGTAGCGCATATCAAGTATTTCATATTTCCAATTTCTCACTACATATTCCATATTTTCGTTTTAGCGGACCTCAGTGCCCCAATATTGGTCTCATATTACCGAACCACGGCCCTCTGGATAGGGTCTCGAGCGGAAATCAAGGTTTCGTTTTAGCGGAAATCGTTTCGTCGTAGCGGAAATCGTTTCGTCGTAGCGGAAATCGTTTCGTCGTAGCGGAAATCGAAAATTTAGCAGACATCCAAATCCAGAGGGCCGTGACCGAACATTGCGATTAGCAGACTTTTTAGGGTGTCTTCTGCACTGAAGAAGCCAAATTGAACCTCCAGGCTAGTACTCGACTTATAAATCTGTGACTCTTGTCTTCTATTTTTAGGTCGCATAATTCATATTTTGTTTCAGCTTTTGGCCATATTACATATTTAGGATTTCCAAAATTCTTCCGTAGTTTGAAAAAAAAAATGCCAAATGTATTCCATATCCTTATAAATATGCGACTGAGTTCCCGGCCTGTGACTACTGAGTACTGACTAATGACTACTAGTGACCACTGACTACACCCTACACAGGTTACACTCCTACACTCTTACAACTCTACACTCCTACACTCTAATACTACAGTCTCTTCACAGGTCTGTCACTCTGTCCACACTCCACACTCCACACTCCAAAGTCCAAAGTCCCCTACAGACTACAGGACTGAGGACTCTCAAGTCTCAACAAGTCTCAAATATGTAAATATTTATGTATGTACTGTTCTCTAGCGTACCTATTTTTAATATATGAAAATACATATCCGCCTTATTGTTGTGAACTGTGAAATAATTCGTGTATGAATAAAGATTTGAGAAGAATCGTTGATTCATTGATCACAGTGATCAGTTGTTGATCACTGATCAGTCATCAGTTCATCACTCATCACTGCATCACTTATCACTTATCACTCACATCAGTTTTCATTGTTCACAGTGAACTGATCACTGAAAAATAAATAAATGTCAAGAATCAGAACTTATGCTACACAATTTAGTAGGTAAATTTTAAAAATAACGTGATCACCTCTCGCGACCTCGCGTGTTTTACAAGAAGTGATCATCTGTATTTTACGCATTTTAAAAAAATTCAGACTTTTGAAGAAAACATATTGCGACCACTTTTTGTTTATTTATTTATTTTATTTTTACAAAAAGAATATTACTTAAGCGTGCGACCGCTGCATGGAGCGTGTGGCAGACTGTCAGTACTCAGTACTCAGTACTCAGTAAAGTCTGACGCCTCACGCCGTAGCTGGATAGACTTTAATCCAATAGATAGTGACTAATCGACTTAATGAGTGGACAATTATATATAGGCACAGCCGCACAGGTCGGACTCTAATTTATGTGGCGCTATAAATAGACCATTCAATTTTTGGCGCGCAGAACTGTCAAAGTGCATTCACGCGTCAGACGCCAGTCGCCGCTGCAACACTGTCACACAGACACAGTCCTTGTAAAAATGAACACATACTATCAATATCATACATTCATTATATTTATTTATGTACTTGTATAAACATATTGCGCATATGTATACTTCGGTGTTTTGTCTCACTACTACATACCACACGCAAGTCCGATCAACCTACGAACAGATAAAATCCAATACTTTCAAGCCAATAAATCTATGCAGCATAGACTATTGAAAGAAGGGGCTTTTTGCTAGTGTTCTGTGGGCTTTGTAGGAATACATAAAATTTGGTGCAAGTTCAGCGAATATTTCAAATTCACTCGTACGATAGGCCTACATTAGTCATAGAGTTTACAATCTCGTATCTATCAATAATTTAAAATTGCATCCGCGATCAACAGTGAGCATATCTAAAATTCTTACAATGACCTTGTAGATCGCGAACTTACCATACATATATATGTATATGTGTATATATATATATGTATATATATATTATGCACACACACACACATGTAAATATATATATATATATATATATATATATATATTATATATGTTGTTATATNTATATGTATATATATATATA